GTACAAACTGATGAATATTTGTGATATCCTTTTAAATCTGTTGAACAACAACCAGAGCACTTATCACGATGATGAATGTTGTTCCTGATTGTTAGCTTACATAGTTACATGAAAACCTTCCATTATTGCAGAGTAGTCAAAAGATTTTGGAAGACATGAAAACTAATCCACCTAGTGTGCCATGTAATGTGCCCCTATTTATTTCACAATCAGACAATTTTCTATATTCACATTCACGTCAGAGAGTTACTCGTATCCACGGCATGGTGCTGGTACTGGTGCATGGGCTCCGCCCGCTTACGTCGTCCAACTGCCACGGCCAACTGAAATCAAGTCCGACAGTTGCGTGAAAATCTGGAGCCGGACATTTATCGAGAGCATGTGAGAATAGCCCGAACCACCCTCTGTCCCAAGAAACTTCTTCATGGCAGTCCAGTGCGCATACATCGCACTCTGGCAGAACCAGCTTGGCGCAGTTTTGGGCCCCCCATACGTGATGTGCAGCGACGGGTTGACATGAAAGACCGTCTTGATGGCGGGACTGTGCAGCCTAGCGTGCACGCACCACGTGTCTTCGCAACCAGCCTGCAGCTCAAGCATCTCAGGTTAGGGGCCGTCTCGGGCGAGATGGCCCACAGGAGGTCGTCAGGTTGCGTTCCGAAGTCGGCCACGACCAGCATGCGCAGGGCTGGCAGCATGTGAAGCCTCGAAAAGAGCGGCCGCACCCGAGCGATGCCACTGAAGCCAACGAACGAGAGCACCTCCAGGAGAGACCGTCCGGACGACGTGAGGGCCTGGATCAGCATCGCGACGTCCTCGGCGGAGGGGCAGTGCCCTCCAGTGGTGCACCCCAAAAAAATCGTGTCCAGATCGACTGTGCGAAGCTTTTCTGCTCGGCGTAGTAAATTTGCAAGGTCCGTGATCTCGGATTTACTTGTTTCGAGCGAGAGGCCGCTGACGTGGAAGTCCCTGAGCGTCTCGCAGGCTGCCACTTCAGACACCCCGGTTTAGGGTGGCCCAAAAAAAATTCAAAGTTTTCGCAGAGGGCACCGCAGGTCAGAATCGAGTAGAGGGTGAAAAATGAACGAACACGTATTTTTTCCTTTCGCTGAGAAACAATTTTAAGTACCTCCGCAAGGCCCTTGAAGTTTGAAGCAGGGCTTAAGTGCATTTCGCGCAATATAAACATATGAAGTTTTGCGCCGATTTTAATGGCAGTGGTATCTCCGTGCTCGTCTTTTTGTGCTAAAAAAGAATATGTGTCTACGCGAGCT